TCCCTTCCAATTTTGTTATTCTGTTATTATATGTGAACACTTGCACCTTGAATTGTACCCAGAAGCCAAATGAATTGTGCCTTTTCTGCCACAACACCTATCCTTTGGAACATCACACTCCCCAAAATCAAACTGGCCCCAGACTTGCTGTCCTTCTGTACAAAGTTGAAGACTTGGATGTCCTCAAGGGACTGAGCTATCAGACAGTTGGACAGTCCATTGAGAGGTTTCTATCTATTGCCCTATTAGGTTAATTCCTAGTGATTTCTGCTGTTATTTTTTTTTATTCTACTAATATTGTTTATTATGGTGTTGAAAGAAAAATCTTCATCAGGATCCAGTCCAAGCCAGGAATAAATAGAATGGAGACTGCTTGAGAAAGAAGCTTGGAGTTTATTGAAGAAGAGAGCCAGACAGAAAGCTGACCACATGTACCAGGAAGTGGCGGGCTTTTATACCTCCTTTGGGCTTTGTATTTAGAATTTGGGTGGGGTATGTAGATTTTAGGTGTCTTTGTCTTCCTAATCTTTTCAGTTTCTAGCTGGAAGCCTCCAACCTTTCTGAAATAATTATTGAATTTGCATTTCTAGAAGCTGGCCTCTGCCTAGTTTCGGCCTGGGGAGAGGGGCTAGGGCTGGTTTCTATCTATTTTTAAGATCTTCTCTATTATTCCTTTGGGGAAATATAATATTCTGCCTTTTAATATTCCCAAAAATATTTCTTTCTTGGTGGGGGGCTGACTTCCCACAATGGTTATATGAGTTGCTGGCATTTGTAAGTTGGGTGGTCCTATAAATAGGTTAAATCAATCAATCATTTACCTGCTTGCTAGTGTCTCAAGAAGCCTTTCCCTTTCCCTCTCACACTTGAGGCATTAAGTGAAATTTAGTGGATTAGAACTGATTTTATAGCACACTCAACTTGCCTTCAGCTGCCTGTTACAGATGGGAAAAGCAACAGGTTTCAGGAAGAACAGGAAAGAGCATTTGGAGGAAGGGACATGAAGTACAGTGGTGATTATGTTTTGCTGCCAAAGGCTCTCCAGCAAGGCAGAATAGTCTTCAGCTAATTGTGTTCCACTTTGTTCCTTCAGCCGGCAGATACTTTCAAGGATTGTGTTTTCATTGTTGAGTCATTCTTAAGGAATTCAATGGGGAAAGACAGCACTGCTTGGCCTTGGTTCTCTCTTCCTCTAGTGTGAATCTTCACAACCTTTAGAGTTTTTAGGGATGTGCACTTCTTTGAGTTCAGACTCCAAACAAAAATGTTTGCTTGCCTTTGCACTTCCCATGCATACAGCAACCTCTTTTGGAATTTACAAAATACACAATAATAGAGTTGGAAGGGACCTTAGAGGTCTCTTGGTCCAACCTTCTGCTCAAGCAGGAGACCTTATACCAGGGGTCTTCAAACTTGCCCCTTTTATGACTTGTGAACTTCAACTCCCAGAATTCCTCAGCCAGTGTGCCTGGCTGAGGAATTCTGGGAGTTGAGGTCCACAAGTCATAAAAGAGCCAAGTTTGAAGACTCCTGCCCTATACCAAGGGTAGGCAACCTTGGCTCTTTTATGACTTGGAGACTTAAAGTCTTCTGTTGGACTTCTTCCAACCTTCTGCTCAAGCAGGAGACCCTATACCAGGGGTCTTCAAACTTGCCCCTTTTATGATTTGTGGACCTCAACTCCCAGAATTCCTCAGCCAGCATGCCTGGCTCAGGAATTCTGGGAGTTGAAGTCCACGAGTCATAAAAGAGCCAAGTTTGAAGACTCCTGCCCTATACCATTCCAGACAAGTGGCTGTCCAGTCTCTTCTTAAAAACCTCCATTGATGGAGCATTCACAATTTCCAGAGGCAAGCCATTCACTAATAAGTCATCTCACTGTCAGGAAATTTCTCCTTAATTCAAAGATTAATTCAAAGTATTGCCCAGCTCTGTAAAAGTTCACCTCCTTGCCCCAGTGTTCTATAAAAAGTAAGATACCGCAACTTCAAGTCTAGCCTGACTAGTGGTTGTTGACTCCACATCGCTTTCTTGCCAGCAGTATGGAAATGGTACATTACTGCTGTCTTCTACTTTTTAAAAATGACTTTCTAGTCTAGCCAAAGCCCTGGATGCTAAACAGGAATGACTCTATTTAATTTCTGAGAACAGCCAAGGATGGCCACATGCTGGTTTCTCCCCCCTCCCTTTTCTACTACATGGAATAAGGATGTCAGATGTTACAGCGCCATCTATTGTTTGATGATGGAGAAGCAGATTCTGGGCTTCACATAACCTTTGTGGATGGTTGTGATTCTCATAATCCTCAATACTGTATCAATAGAGGAGAATATTTCTAGCTCAGGTTTGAAATGAGGGTCCTTGGTGCTCTCCGAGCTTGATGGTTTTCTTACAGACATTTCATTACCCAAACTAATTAACACCATCAGTGCACTAATGATGTTATCTAGTTTGGGTAATGAAATGTCTGCAAGAAAACAACCCAACTTTAGAGAGCACCAAGGACCCCTCAGTACTCTGTATCCCAGTTTGTCCCATGTTATAATATCACAAAGAGTTCATTGTATATGATTCTACCCACTTTCCTATTAAAAATTAGAGCTGGGAAATGAGCTTTCAGGCCATCTGGTCAACTTTTCTGCTGTTCTTTTAATTCCACCACTGTCCAACCTTTTTCTGTCTTTTCAGTTTTGTTGTGATACATTCTCCGTACATAAAATGTTAACTGGAAACTGCAGCTGGCATAGAATGTGCTAGTATAGAAACAGTTTGGTAGACTCATGTAACATAGCTACTTGTGAATCACAGTTTCCTGATACGTTTTTGGATAAAATTCAAGGTGCTGGTTGTCACCCATAAAGCTCTCCATGGTAGAAGGTTTGATTATTTGTGAGTTTGCTTGTCTCCAAATATCTCAGTCTGTCCCACAACTACACAACGCCATCTGTGATGTGTCCTGTTTTTGTTTTTTGTTCTATGCTCATGTGAAACCTCTCCCTTTTTCCTCAGCGTGGCTGGCTCAGGAATTCTGGGAGATGAAGTCCACGAGTCATAAAAGAACCAAGGTTGCCTACCCCTGCCCTATACCATTTCAGACAAATGGCTGTCTAGTCTCTTCTGCAACTGGCCAGCGTGGATGAGGATGAATTGCCTCCTGCGCAGGGCAGAAAGGAGGCAGGCTCAACAGAGGTCGGTGAGGCAACTCATGAGGAGGCAGCCTCATCCATCTTAATGAGCTATACCGACAAGTGCCTATTTATTCAGATGAGTGGAGCAGGGGGTTGTTGGAATCTTATCTTACTCTACTGCACCAAAGGGAGTTGCCAGTCAATGCCTTTTCTTTTTTTTTCCCCTTTTCACCCACTTTTCCCTTCCCTTTTCCCTCCCCTATTTTTCCTATTATTTTCTTTTGTATTTTATATTATAAACTAATAAAAAAGGAAACAACCACCCATTCTCCTGCCATGTGCATGCTTCGCCTTTGTGACTTCGGTTTCCTCAACTCTGGATTGTGCTGCGCTCTAGACCCTGGATTGGTTCATGGATTTTGGGCCTCTACCTTGGATTTTGTGGACTTTTGCTTGTGGATTTGGTAACTGACTGAGCAGTGTTGGACTCAATGAGTCTTTGTATTGGGTGCAAAGGGATTAACATTAAAGGGCTTTGATTATCACTAAAGTGCTTAAAACCAGGGCTTTTTTTGTCATAGAACACCCAGAACGGAGTTCCGGCACCTTTTTTGGATGGAACCTTGTAGGGTAGGCAAGGTGGGTTGTATGACGTATGTGAGTTCCGGCACCTTTTCTTTTTACAAAAAAAAGCACTGCTTAAACCCTTGTGTGTGTCATGCAGGTGGACTAAACCAGGACATTATTCCATGTTCTATGTCTTGCTGAGCTACTTTGGAGAGTAGGGTGCTTGATCAATTTGAGGGATAAATTCCAATAAAAATATAAAGGGAATGTAAAACAGCTGAGCTCAGATTTATGAGATGTTGAACTATTGCATACCTCCTTTGTTGTGATAAAGACAACGGCAGTAGTAAGGCCTGCTGAAGTGTTATATGGCAAGACTGCCCATCTAGCAGTTCTAACCTGTTTCTAACTGAACACTTTTTATTTGGCTTTGGAGACACAACACTCTTTTGACATTGAACACAAATTACACAATAGTTTCAACTGTCAAATGTATTCCCCTTTAATATCAGACATACATTTGCAATAGAAAAACGGCACTTAAAACCATGCTGTGACTTGAATTTGGACCAAACTTCCACGACCAGACTGCAAGCAACATGCATCCTATTAAATAATCTGACCTGCCATTAACTTTTCTTTCCTCCTTCAAGTTTAATTTCTACCCCTGATAACAACTTACAGTAATATACCACAAAACATTATATTGGAGATATCAAACAATAATTAATTGTATGATCTTTCCCCAGAACCTGAATTGTCAAAAATGAAACAGGACATACAACTTCAAATATAAAATTGTGAAAGCACTGAAGGTCAGAGGAAGCCAAGAAATTTCCAGAATAATTAGATATAAACATTTTCATAAGTGGAAACAAATGCATTGGAGACATTCTAAAATATTAGCCAGTTTGCTAAAATAAAAACAAGATGCCTTTGGCTTCTACATCTAAAGCTGATAAATAAAAGAGTTTATATGATAAATTAGAAAATATGAGTTTAGAGCAGTGGTTCTCAACCTGTGGGTCGGGACCCCATTTGGGGTCGAATGACCATTTCACGGGGGTCGCCAAACCACGCTGTCCGCCATTTTTCCCCCTTTTCCCTAGCTGTCCTACTCCCTCTTATTAATGGCCACACCCACTTGGGGGTCACCACAACATGGGGAACTGTATTATGGGGTCACGGTATTAGAAAGGTTGAGAACCACTGGTTTAGAGTAAAAGATAGGGAAGGAGGGAGGGAGGGAGGAAGGCTTCCCATATATAAAAATGGACTGCAGATTCTTAATATTTGTACAAGCAAAACTTGTATCAGTAAACTACATATAGGATGGGCAGTCCATCTACTTTTTTTAACTTGTACCATTAGCAAATTTTTAGATTAAAAACTATTATTGAATAAAACATGTTTCCCTTGAATAAGCACATAAACTTCAAACACATGACCATAACATTTCTCAGGTTTATACTACACCAATGGAAAATGAATTGTGACATTAGTTTGCTATTTCACTCATGGACATGCTCCCAGATTTTTTTTTTTAAAGCCACAACAATCTTTTATGAAAATATCTTTTTCTAGCAAAGGTACAACTAGATTCTGGTCAGGCAGAACATAAACACATGAAATATTTTCTCCTGCTACAAATTATTCTTTCAAAGTAGAAACACAATACAGTATTTGTAAAAGGTTCCACTTCTGTTGATAGTTTAGGATCCTTGTGTGACCTGGCTTGTATGAATATTGACATACAGGAGTATTAATCTGTTGAGCAAGGCTAGTAAGGTTTAACAATCCAAAACAGGAATTCCATTTTGGGATTACCAGAATTCTGGTAATCTCCCAATTCACAGGGCTGCAATTCTTGAAAGATAAACATACAGTATGATAAATAGTGGTGAGAGACACTTGCGTGGGGCATGGGTAAGGCCAACATTATAAGGAAAAGTGGAAAACCCAAGAAAAACATCCTCGTTTATTTTCCTGAATTAGGAATGAAAAATAAATGGTGTGCATGCTTTCTTATTTAAGAATACAGAGTGAATATCTTCCCTGCACTTAAAAATAATACTATTGTATAATGGCCTGGCCTAAGACTCAAAGGGTGCAATCTGATACTAGGGAATGATTCTGAGAACTAGACTCACCATGTCTAGGGAGCGATAACTAAATCCTGAAATTTGGCAACCCATGTCAATCCTGCTGAAATGAGACAGCTGGGCATGGTGGACTGTAAAGCAGGTTTTAGCCCAAAGTACTGCAATACAAAGTACAACCTGGGTTCAAGACCCGAGTGTCACGCGATGGGGTAAGCTCCCGTTACTTGCTCCAACTCCTGTCCACCTAGCAGTTTGAAAGCATGCAAATGTGAGTAGATTAATAGGTACCACTTTGGTGGGAAGGTAACAGCGTTCTGTGCACCTTTTGTGTATAGCCATGCTGGCCACATGGCCATGGAAATTGCTGAATCCCTCATCCAAGAAGCGGAGATGAGCACCGTGCCCTAGAGTCAGACACGACTAGACAGGGAAGCCTTTACCTTTAAGTTTTACTGCAATATTCATTTTGGCTAATGTTGTCTTTCTTGATTGCCTGTATGCAATGTATTGCACATTTGCTAAGAGCTTTTGTTTCTCCTACAACCATCAGAGAACCAACATTCAATTGTCTGCTAAAGATAGTATTATAATACTGCGGGATGGTGTGTGTGTGTCTGTAACGTATAGACACAATGTTCTTGGGAAGATCAACCTAGCAACTGAAAACATAAGCTGAGCTGAAACCGTTAGTGCAATATTTTTCATGCACAGTTGACATATTTAAAATATTACAACAGAGAAAGAACCTGGGAAAGAAAGGAAGGAGAAAAATGTAGGTCACTGAGAAAATTCTGTGGCGTAATGGAATATATTTTGGGGCCCTCTACCAATGCTGTTAGTAGAGAGTTATTTCAGAAGCACTGTGTGGGGAAGAAAATAAAAGATTTCATCTGGAAACAAGGATGAATGTTGTTGTTGTTTTAACAGAAGTTTCTATCTTATTTTCACCGAAGAAAGAATATAAATATGTATACAAAGGCCACTGTCTGCCTCTTGTCAAGCTAGGAATTTTGTTGCATCCCCAACTGATAATAATCCCTTCTGTTCCTAAGACCTTGCTTCTTAATACTACACCCACTTTGGGATAAGGGAATGGTGCTGCTGAACTGAGATAGAAGCTGTGATAACAATCTCAATATAATCACAGATTTTCCCACCACCACCCCTGAGAGTATATACTTATGGCATGGGTTGGGTGTGTACATCTCAGTGCTTTAGAAAACAACAGATGCATTCCAAAACATCCTTTTGAATGCCACTCCAATTTGATGGACAAGTTGGACTCTGTTTGAGATTTGAGCAGGTATCAAAATCAGCCAGGATGTAGTGGAGCTGGTCACCTCTTTCAGATGCTATAATTTCCATCTTCTTAAAGCCAGGGTGGTGCTGCATCCATAACACACGGTTGTTACAAAGGAAAAAATCTGCAGGGGAAGAGGAGGCATGGAAGGAGAAATAAAATGGAAATGTGTATCAAAGTTTGGTGGTTGTGGTCTTTAATGTTTTGTTCCCTAAGTTGTTATTTTCACACAATAAGCATTGCATATTGCACTTCTTGAAGCATTTAGCGTTTCATGAACTTAAGGTCAGTATTGGGCTTACTTCATAGGAGGAGCATGCACACAGACATGGGTGATGTGTAATTTTTTGTTGCACGGTGGGCAAAAAACCCAACACTGGGTACCTATTTATTTATTTTGGAACCCTGAAGACCATGAATACTTAAGAGAGAGTGCAATACAGTGGTTGGAGCAGAAATCCCCAATCTTTGGGTGCTGATGAAGAGAAAGTAGAGAACAGGCTGTAGGCACTTTTGCAAAATGGCAGCCTAGAAGAGAAGGCCTTCTCCATGGCACCACTTAGCCTAGGGGTGGGGAACCTTGGCTCTTTTATGACTTGTGGACTTCAACTCCCAGAATTCCCGAGCTAGCCATGGGTAGGTAATGGGCAGCATGGAAGAATGGCTCACCATCCAGATTGGGATCCAGAATGTTGGTGCTGCCTGGATTAAAGCAGCTCCATCCTCTTCATAACTGGAGAGTTTGTCTCTTAAAAGGGAACTGAAAGTTGAGTGTGGGTGTGTCAAGAAGGGAGTCAAGCCAGGAAGGCAATAGAGATGCCTCCACCCCAAAAGTAAGCAATCTTCAGGAAGGACAAGAAAACTGCAATTCTTGGAGCTGCAAGACCGGATGAGAGGCAGAGCTGAGAACAGAGGAGGAAAAAAGCCTGACCACAGTCTGCAAACTCAAGCAAGCCCACTGCATGTAGCAAAACTCCAGAAAGCAGCTCCAGAAACAGAGGACCGTAAGTTCTGGAAGAGAGAGAAGTCATTTGCCAGCCTACAGGGGAGTGAAAAGGGTTTTCACATGCAGATAGACTGAGAATGGGCTACAGGAACAGAAGACCCATCAAATGATTATCATAATTCAGACAGTCATTAAGTGGAGGGTCATAATTCAAGGATGACCTGTAGTTACCGTAAATTTGGCTGATCCCAGAACATCCCTGAGTGATACTCACCGCAGCTGCTATGCTTAAATTATATTCATGGCTATCTAGAAGTGCTCCAGGTTTGGTGATGTTGGAGGCGAGATTGGTGGCCTTAAGGGGGTGACTGTGCAAAGATGTTGTGGCAGTTTGCAGTAAGAAGGTCCCAAAGTAGAAGACAAAGACGGCTGCGTGGTAAAGGAAATCCTAAGGGGAGCAAAAATGTGAAAGTAAAAACTCAAAAGACCAAACGTTTGCAGGCATCAAATGATTTGCTGTGCAAAATAGATCATGTCCCACGTGATGGCAGTATTCTCATATATATAAAAGTTAGAATTAATTTGCGGAATTTTTTAGCCTCGGAGCTGGGATCACAACACAGTACCCAGGAGTCTGTCATTCTTGTGGCCCTGCCGTGCAACTATTAACCAGGAATGATCCTGCTTAGCTCCAGGAGGCCAAAGGTGGGCAGAAGCAGTGACCTACTGAGACATATTTTTACTAAAAGGAATGCATGAGGTAATATTATCACTCTCAGGGTGATCCTCCTGTTCTCCCTTCTGCCTGCAGTTCCCAAAGCTGAATCAAGAAAACGTGACAAGCTGTTGAGGCCAAGCAAAGAGCAGATGCAACTTTTTAAATGACAAGAGCACCTTAAGTCTACCCATCTAATTTCTAGCCCTGTGTGAGTGTGTTTATTAGTCTTGGAGAGGGCAGGGTTTTTGGCAACATTTTCAGAAGAGGCATGTTACCGTATTTCCTCCTTCCTGTTCCGAAGGCTAAGAGCAAGTGATTGTCTCAAAGTCACCCAGTTGACTTTGTTTCTAAAGCAGGACTAGAGCTAGTTTGGTCTAAAGCAGGGGTAGGCAACCTCGACTCTTTTATGATTCATGGACTTCAACTCCCAGAATTCCTGAGTCAGCATAGGAATTCTGGGAGTTGAAGTCCATGAGTCATAAAAGAGCCGAGGTTGCCTACCCCTTGTCTAAAGGTTATGGCATCAGGCTAGAAACCAGGAGACGGTGAGTTCTAGTCTATCTTAGGCATGAAACCCGGTTGGGTGACTTTGGGCCAATCATCAGGAGCCTGTGAGTTCTAGTCTCGCCTCAGGCATGGAAGCTGGCTGAGTAACTTTGGGCCAGCCCCTCTCTCAGCCCAAACCACTTCACAGGGTTGGTGTTGTGGGGAAAATGGGAGGAGGGAGGAGAATTAGTTATGTTCATCACCTTGAGTTATTTATAAAAATAATAAAGGTGTGATATAAATAAATAGATCAATCAAGGACTTTATTTAAGTGGTGAGTTCTCCCTATTTTGCATGGCAGGATAGGACCCTATCCATAAAAAGCAATCGACCAACCAATCAATCAATAAAAACCAATAAAATGTATTTATATAATTTATAGAACCATATATAACTAAATACATGTTACTGGTTTAGCTGTCCATCTCACAATAGAGACTTTAGGCAGGGAACAGAGGATTAAAACCCCAAATCTGAGAAATAATATAGAAAATACTAATCTAAAACAATAACAAAAAAACATATTATGGAGTCTAAAAACATTCCATTTTCAATCAATGAAGACTAAAACAAGAAATACACCAACATGGCTCACTGACTCTTCCAGACCAACGCCTGAGAGAACACTCAGGTCTTCAGTGTCTTATGAATGGCCTAATGCAGGGGTCCTCAACCTTGGCAACTTTAAGACTTGTGGACTTCAACTCCCAGAATTCCTCAGCCAGCAAATTCTGGGAGTTGAAGTCCACAAGTCTTAAAGTTGCCAAGGTTGAGGACCCCTGGCCTAATGTACAATGCTTGGAGGAACAGGGCTATAGTGGAAGCACAATCTTCTCTGACCTTCATTGATCCATGTATATGCACATACCATGTTTCCCTGAAATTAAGACTCCAAAAGAGGCACCAGGTCTTAATTTTGGAGAATGTCTTACCTTAGGACCATCGCAGCCAGGCCTTCCATGCTCTAACACCTGTTGCGCCACTACTTGACCTCTTCTGTGGCCACTTGCCGCCACTTGTGGCCGGATGCCATGTGGCGCATTGCGCCATTGCCACTCCTCCCGGCAGGACGCCGCATGGTGCTTTGCGCCATTTCTGCTGCTTGTGGCAGGACGCTGTGTGACTCTTTGGGCCATTTCTGCAGCGGAAACGGCCCGAAGTGCCACATGGCCTCCTGCCATGAGCAACAGAAGTGTCCTGAAGTGCGCGAGCAATGGAAGCATCCCAAAGCACTGCGCAAGCAGTGGAAGCATCCCAAAGCACCATGCGGTGTCCTGCCAGGAGGAGCGGCAATGGTGAAATGCACTACATGTCGTCTGGCCACAAGTGGTGGCAAGCGGCCACAGAAGTAGCAGCACGACAGTTGTCAGGGTGTTGAGGCCTGGCTGTGGTGGTCCTAGTGGTAAGGTTAGCGGGTACGGGGCAGGTGGGGCAGCTTTACCCCACCTACCCCCACCCTAGCTTGATTTTTAGGGGTGCACCTCGCCCCCAAACTAGGGCTTAGTTTTGAAGTAGGGATTATATTAGGCCCACCCCCCCAAAATTAAACTAGGCCTTACTATCTGGCTGGGCCTAACTTTTGGGGAAACATGTTAAGTACCAACAGAAGAGAATATTTGTAGCCCAGGGTTGAACTTGTGGGATCCTTGGTGCTCTCTGACAGTTTGGTTGTTTTCTTGCAGATGTTTCATTACCCAACTAGGTAACATCATCAGTGCTAAAAGTGAGTGCTGGGCTTGCTTATACATACATACTTGCCTGGTCAGTGGTGGTGGACTGTTCTTGGTGGTTCCTTACACATGCACATAAGAATATATGTGCATACCCCCAAATGAATGGCAATGTGTTGGATCATCTTTGCAATGAACTAACTTCCACATACTGTAAGTACTATTTGAACAAATTCTGCTGCAAGACTTTTTAAAATTCAGGCCTATAAAACTCCTTGGACCTGTATACTTAGAATTCCCCAAAGCCCTTAGTTAGGAACTTTGTCTTCTCTTGAATAAACTTATCATCGTATCCATTCATTGACTGCTAACTGGTTTAAAAAACAGAAAACAAAGATGGGGAAAAATAGAGAGTTTTTCTCAACAAGGGGGAAATTAAATGGCCCACAACCTATTGATTTTTCCAGGAAGCAATCATAATGTGCTTATGCCAGAGAACATAAGTAAAACTAATGGCCAGTCTCCTTCAGAGGTTTTCTGTTCTCCTGTAAATGCCTGAGGATGGTTGTGAACTTATAATCAAATTGTATCCCTCAAGGCAATTCCAGTCACATCACTGAACTCAAACCTATTAACAAACCATACAGCAGGCAGCATGATTTATATGAAGAAGGAGAAGGAGGAAGGAGAAACATTCATTCAATTTTAATACACATCTATTAATTTGCATTTCCTCATTCTCCTAGGTGAATAACAGAATGACAGAGTTGGGAAGGGACCCTGGAGGTCTTCTAGTCTAACCCCCTGTTCTTTCATCAAACTTGGTCATCTATGAATTTGCAGATCAGTGTATCCTTCATACATAATTATGTACAAGAATGTATTACAACACAGAAAATTGATACTAAAATTTGATATTTACAGAATAGAGGAGGAAATTATGTCAGGAGCAAACTTGTGCAGGACACAGGGATTTTCAGGTGGATTTTTTTAAAAACAAAAACAAAACCATCCTAGAATTGCTCATGACACAGCAGAGCTGACATTTTATGTTTCAATGTTCACTTTAATAATGAGCAATGGCCTTTCCTTGTTTACTGTGCAAACAAAGACAGAATTTGCATCTTTCCAGAACAAAAGTGCCCTTACAATCCTTCCTCTTAGTCCCCAAAAGAATAAATAAAAATGTTAGAAGATTTTGTTTTATTATACGTAAATGGTAGCAGAGGTTTATTATATAGCCATATGGAGCAAACTAAAGCGTACAGTGTATATAGTCACCAAGGGCCTTGCTGCTTAATGGTTTCAACTGTCATAGGAAGTTTTCCTCAGAACATAAAGGAACCATAGATTATAACTATAGATGCAAACTAAATGCTGCCTGAATAATTCTGTAGTTGTTGCAATACAAAATATATTCTAATACGTGTTCCAAAAAGAAAAAAGAAAGCCAAAATCTACAACAATGGCGTTAAAAGAACACACAAGTAAATCATCATGAACTTCCATCTTTACAAGTACGAATGCATGCACAAACATTAAGAAATAACACATCACTAAGCTACAATTACATTAATGGAACTGTTCATCTTGTGGCTTTATAGCACAGTTAATACTTTTGGACTTGGGCCTGTGTATTCAGCAATTCCTCAAGTAGCTCCTTCCAATTGCCATTCTTAAAAGCAGTCTCAGCTCCCTTCTGTACTTCCTATGGTCTCCCATATTCACAAATACAGTAATTCAAGAAAATGTTAACTTCAGATAAAATGTACATGAGGAACATGCATGGATAAGCCATTCTTTCATCAACTATGTATTTTTTTTTTCATTTTTGCAATACTTAGCAGCAACACATTGGGCAGTGACAACCGATTTCTAGCAATGGGTTTTCTAAAAAAAAAAAAAAAAACATGATATGGACAAATCCACTTCTGGAAATGCCTCTGACTTGTTTGCAGTTTTTAACTTGCAGCCTTTTTTTTTTTTTTTTGCATGCTTACCAAACGGTTCCAGTCGATGGCAATTCTCTCTCGATAACTGAAGAGAAAGACTGAAAGGAAGGAGATGGAAGTGAAGCAGGCTGTCACAGATACAAACATTACCCAGCCCTGCAGCAGGGGCAAAGGAACTTTTGTAGCAGCCACTAGTATCCATACAAGTGCTCCAAAAAGCTGTAAAATACAACATATAAAGAAGCGTAAGGAAGCATACGCAAGCACATGCCTGATATGACACTATTCCTTTTTATGACAAAATTATATAAAGTATAGAGCAGGGGTAGGCAACTTTGGCTCTTTTATGATTTGTGGACTTCAACTCCCAGAATTCCTGAGCCAGCATGGCTAAGCATGGAAACCTCTCCCTTTCCCCTCAGCATGGCTGGCTTAGGAATTCTGGGAGTTGAAGTCCACGAGTCATAAAAGAGCCAAGGTTGCCTACCCCTGGTATAGAGGAAAAAATGCTAAGCAAAAAAAAGGCAAAAGGTGAAAAAAAGAAATATAGTACAGTTTAACGCACTGATACTATTCAGTATAACTATTCGCATTTGCAGCATATTTCTTGATTTCATCATGTGCATATAACTCTTCATACATTTGTCTTTCATTCTTTAAATTTCCTCATCTTTCTGTTTTTCAGGGACTTACCAATTTTGACCAGCCATGACTTTCTTCCCTGTCCTTTTCCTCTCAATTCAATCATAATGAAGCACTTTTTTTTTTTAAAAAAATTAAGGCTGAAATACATAGGCTTGCGACCAAAGTCAAAAATAACAAAAAAAGCTTCTTTCAACATGTAAAAAACAAGGAAAAAGTGAAGGAAATGATTGGTCCATTAGTGGGTGGAAGTGGCAAGAAGGTGACAAGCAACAGGGAGAAAGCAGAACTATTTAACTCATTTTTTGCATCTGTCTTTACACAAAGGGAAAAAACAGACCCACCTATCAAAAATAGTGCCACAAAAAACAAAACAGAAACACAAGTTAAGATAGGCAAGAAAATCGTTAGTGAGCACCTGTCCAGCCTAGATGAGTTCAAATCGCCAGGACAAGACGGATTACACCCCAGAGTTCTCAAGGAACTGGCAGATGTGATATCGGAGCCACTGAACTATATTTTTCAAAGATCCTGGAACACAGGGGACCTACCAGAGGACTGGAAAAGAACTGATGTAGTTCCCATCCTCAAAAAAGGAAAAAAAATGGATCCAGGAAATTACAGACCTATCAGCCTGACCTCAATACCTGGGAAGATCCTGGAAAAGATAATCAAACAACGAATCAACGAACACCTAGAGGCAAACAAAGTCATTACTAAAAGCCCACATGGGTTTGTCAAAAATAGATCATGCCAGACAAATCTTATTGCATTCTTTGACCAAGTGACAAAATTAGTGGATCAGAGGAAGGCTGTGGACATAATTTACTTGGACTTCAGTAAGGCATTTGATAAAGTAGATCACAACCTACTACTTGACAAGATAGAAAAATGTGGGGTAGACAGAACCACCACCAGATGGATCCGTAGCTGGCTGACCGGCCGTACTCAGCGAGTGGTCCTCAATGGAACTGCATCTATATGGATGGAAGTGTGTAGTGGGGTGCCCCAGGGCTCTGTTCTGGGCCCAGTACTCTTCAACATCTTCATCAACGATTTGGATGAAGGGATAGATGGGGAACTCACCAAATTTGCAGACGACACCAAGCTGGCAGGAATAACCAACACTCCAGAAGATAGGCTTAAGATACAGAAGGATCTGGACAGACTTGAACACTGGGCACTAACTAACAAAATGAAATTCAATGGTGACAAAAGCAAGGTTCTACATTTAGGCAAGAAAAACCAAATGCACAAGTACAGCATAGGTGGCACCATGCTCAATAGTAGTAACTGTGAGAGGGACCTCGGAGTCCTAGTAGACAATCACTTAAATATGAGCCAGCAGTGTGCTGCAGCTGCCAAAAAGGCCAACACAGTGCTAGGCTGCATTAACAGAGGGATAGAATCAAGATCACGTGAAGTATTCATACCACTCTTCAATGCCTTGGTAAGGCCACACTTGGAATACTGCATCCAGTTTTGGTCACCACGATATAAAAAAGATGTTGAGACTCTAGAAAGAGTACAGAGAAGAGCAACAAAGATGATTAGGGACTGGAGGCTAAAACATATAAGGAACGGTTGCTAGAATTGGGTATGTCTAGTTTAACGAAGAGAAGGACAAGGGGGGACATTATAGCAGTATTCCAATATCTCAGGGGCTGCCATAAAGAAGAGGGAATCAAGCTATTTTCCAAAGCACCTGAAGGCAGGACAAGAAGCAACGGGTGGAAACTAATCAAGGAGAGAAGCAACCTAGAACTGAGGAGAAACTTCCTGACAGTGAGAACAATTAATCAGTGGAACAGCTTGCCTCCAGAAGCAGTAAATGCTCCAACACTGGAAGTTTTTAAGAAGAGACTGGACAGCCATTTGTCCGAAATAGCGTAGGGTTTCCTGCCCGAGCAGGGGGTTGGACTAGATGACCTCCAAGGTCCCTTCCAACTTTACTACTATTACTATTACTACATGGTCTTAAATACAGCACTATTCAGATTACATTAAGTATGAAGTTACTGGACTAATTTGGCTTCATAAAAAGCTGAATTCTGTTCTACTGCAATCGCCACCAGGAGACTTGGCTGTAAACTTAGCCTTATACTTCTATTTATTATTAGTTTGCCTTTCTTATACAAGTCTTTTTTAGTTATCTCTTTACTGTATTTTACTTCCTTTCTTCGGTCTATGACTATAAATTAGAGCACTTCTTTAATTTTCCAACTGGGCCAGGACTCTGTATTATCAAGGTTAATAATAATAATAATTTATTAAATTTATATGCTACCCAACGCTCATGTCTCATGTAATAGGAATTTGGTGTCTCTCCTAAAAACTTAATAGGAGTGCTCTAGATTTTTGAATGCCTGAATAGGATTTGCAATATTTACCACTCCCACAAAAAAATGTGGAAATTAAAAATGCTATCATTTGCCAGAATGCCTTCAGCAATCTATCATTTTTTCAGAGCGTTCAGTTCATCTGGTAATGGTGTAGGGTATCCTGCTTGAGCAGGGGGTTAGACTAGAACAGTGGCCGCCAACCTTTTGGCACCAGGGACCCCATGGAGAAAGGTTTTTCCACAGAACAGAGGGACATGGCTTTGCGTGCCGCCTGCATCCCGCGGATGGGGCTTCTTCGCTTGTTTGTGTGGCCCAGTTATTGGCATGCCACAGACTGGTGCTGGTCCACGGACCAGGGGTTGGGGACTGCTGGACTAGAAGATCTCCAAGGTCCCTTCTCTTTTAATGAAGAGAAGGACAAGGGGGGACATGATAGCAGTGTTCCAATATCTTAGGGGTTGCCACAAAGAAGAGGGAGTCAAGCTATTTTCCAAGGCGTCTGAGGGCAGGGCAAGAAGCAATGGATGGAAACTAGTCAAGGAGAGAAGCAACCTAGAACTAAGGAGAAACTTCCTGACAGTTAGAACAATTAACCAGTGGAACAACCTGCCTCCAGAAGCGGTGAATGCCCCAACACTGGAAGTTTTTAAGAAGAGACTGGACAGCCATTTGTCCAAACTTTACTACTACTACTACTACTACTACTACTACTACTACTACTACTACTATTACTATATTATTCTATCTTGTTCTATGTTGTAAAATCTGTAGCCAACAGAACAAATGATCATACTGACTAGGCATTATGGGAGTTGAAGTTCTATAAATCAGGAGGACACTAGATTGTGGAGTGTTGTGATAGAAATAAAGCTGCTCTAAATCATTGCATTGTTACCGGTCAGTTCTTTTAATATAACATAAATGTTCCTATTGAGCAGGGCACTGTTGAATATACATGTAGTCCTTGTTTAGTGACCTCAATTGGGACCGGAGCTCAATCATTTAAGTAAAGCGTTTGCTAAGTGAAAACACAACTGTGCTTACAATTTTATTTCTATAAACATGTGAAGGTCACAACTGCAAGGACTGGTTGCAAAGCTATTTTTTAATCACTGTTATAATTATGAACAGTTATCTGAGACAGTCACTAAACAAGGACTACTTATGTGTTTTTTGATAAATATATGCAGCTTGCCCCCCCCCCAAAGAACTCCTCTAAACCAAACACTACTCAGAAAGTAATTATATACACATAATGTCCAGGACTGGTGTATCTTAAATTGCAGAATGATTGCAAGTAACTCTGTGGTAAATATCTTCCTGTTACTTGCTTAGGAAATCAATGGGATTTTTTTAAAAAAACAAGATGTTAAAACAACTTGAAAAAAGAAATTTAAAAACAAAACAGCATTGCTATTAGGCAAAAGGGTTGATTTTTTACTGGTTCTTCTTTACCCAGTCATGGAGAAATTAATCTGATATACTTTATCATTTTATCCTCATGGGAGAATGTCCTCCCCTGCTTTAAGCTGCAATGTGATATCCACTTATCTGGGAATAAAATTCTCCTGGACATAATGGGACTATTTTAGACTTGCACAGGAATGTAGCACGATTCTTATATTATTCAGGTATTTGAGACACAGCTGATACTTCTTCCAGGTCCCAAAGCACATTTCATTCACAGAACAGTCTGGATCAATCTACTTGTGCTTCTTTAAAAACCTAGTGCTGATTTGGCAGTGCACTATCCCAAAATAGGAAAACACCACAAAACTGGTCTAATTGTTTCAATAAAAAACACACACGAGAAAAGCATATGAGTACGTCGTGTGCTTGTCATAAATTCCATCTTAAGGTCACTTCCCGCATTGGGGAGGGCTGCCAACATGCCTGTCAACATCACATAAGCAGTAGCTTGGCCAAAGTTTGGAATCCATACTTAGGATAATTTGGTCTTTTAGACAATTAAGACTGCAACATATTCAGGTGGTCCTTGACTTACAACCGTTCATTTAGTGACTGTTTGAAGTTTCAACGGAAAAAAGTGACTTATGACCGTTTTTCACACTTAACAATGTTGCAGTATCCCCCATGGTCAAGTGATCAAAATTCAGACACTTGGCAACTGATTCATATTTATGACAGTGGCAGTGTCCTGGGGTCATGTCATCACCTTTTGTGACTTTCTGACAAGGCCTATGCATCACCATATCTTGGTGCTCAGCTGCTGAG